TTAAAAAAAAAAAAAAAAAGGAATGCAAATCCCTAGAGATTACCAGTGGTGCAATTATCCTACATCAGGTTTATGTTTCTCTTTAAAAAATTTCCCCATCAAGTCATTGTAATCCTTCCAGAATATACATAGATAAGTTTGTCATGATACCAAAATAGACATGGTTATCGATACTGCTGTTTTGTTTTTAGAGAAGGAAACTGTGTGTACATTTTTGTGTGTGTGTTGGTGGGTTGAGAGGGGAATTATGAATCTAAAGCTTTCTAATATTGCTAAAGGAATTTTTCCTGAAATGTTGGAAACTGGTTATTTAGAGATGAACAAAATAGTTTGAGGTTTGAGACTATTATCCACTGATTTTTCCATACCTGCTGTCGACCCTGTGAGCCTCCTTGAGTCTTAGGGGGGAATAAACTTCCTTTGTAAGAATTACTGCCTTATGAATTAGTGTAACACTGGGATGCCCTATGCTTTTGAGATAGTCTTAGACTTGGCTCAAAATACTACCTCCGAGGCCATGAGAATCCAGAAGCCTCATTTTAATTTCTGCAAGTTTCTACAGCTGTCTTTTTGTGTGTCCTTCTGTCCCCGGGGTCCTGTGTGGATGCTGGCTGCTCTACTCGGTTTAGAGAAGCCCTAAATGCAGAGTTTGGCCTCTTTAGCTATGTTTAGAAGAAACTCTTACATCAAGCTAGCCTGTCCTTTCACAATTCCTCTCCCTCCATTTCTTTTCCTTCACTTCCTTCTTCCTTTCTCCCTCCTCCATTCCCACCTTCCTTTCACTGTTTCAGGAAACCTTGAGGACTTGGTGGGTCACTGGGAGGAGTCATATCATAGGGCACATTCTTTGCCCCTCTGTCTGCTAGCTTCACCCTTTCACTCCCATTCTTCCCTTTCTTCCTGGCACATTGAAGAATTTCTCCTTTTTGTCTTATTTAGGGCAGCCATCTCTGAAAGGAGTTCTAGTTTCTCCACTTGGTTTTAATCTGCGTGTAGATATATTTGCTGCACCTGCAAATCAATTCCACAGACTCTTTCTCAAAGGGGAGAAGGACAAAACCAAATGTTAATTTATGTTTTGGTGGCAACAGAGCTTGCTCTAACCGAATGCTCCAAGCCCTGCCTTACTGCCTCCTGGTCGCTGAACACAATCTCAAATGCTTCTACGAAGCTGGCATGTGACATACATGAGTCAAGGGAATCTGGTGGAAGAGGCAGTGTGGCGTGAGGGACAGAGTATATATCCAGAGTCACAGTTCACTCAAAGGGACCACAAGCAACTGGGCTCCAGCTGATGGCTGCCAGTGAGGATGGAGGTCCAGTGTGGCCTCATAATCCAATTTTTAAGAATTTAGAGGTCTAATTTTTATACAAAAATTTCCCAAACTGTGAACCCTGGCAGCTGGTTTTTTAAAAAATTGTGCAAGACAATATTGTGTTGGTTACCAAACTACGCAGGAGAGACACACCTAAACCACACGGGAGAGACACACCTAAACTACGTGGGGGAGGCACACCCAAACCATGCGGGAGAGATACACCTAAACCACGCAGGAGAGAAACGCTTAAACCACACGGGGTAGACCCACCACGTCGGGGAGACAGACCTAAACCACGCGGGAGAGACAGACCTAAACCATGTGGAAGAGACACGCTTAAACCACACAGGGTAGGCACACCATGTGGGAGAGACAGACCTGAACCACGTGGGAAAGACACACCTAAACCACGTGGGAGAGACAGACCTGAACCATGTGGGAGAGACAGACCTAAACCATGTGGGAGAGACATGCCTAAACCACACGGGGTAGACACATCACGTGGGGGAGACAGACCTAAACCACATGGGAGAGACACGCCTAAACCACACAGGAGAGAAACGTTTAAACCACATGGGGTAGACACACCACGTGGGAGAGACACACCTAAACTACGTGGGGGAGGCACACCCAAACCATGCGGGAGAGACACACCTAAACCACGCAGGAGAGAAATGCTTAAACCACACGGGGTAGACCCACCACGTCGGGGAGACAGACCTGAACCACGTGGGAGAGACAGACCTAAACCATGTAGAAGAGACACGCCTAAACCACACAGGGTAGGCACACCATGTGGGGCAGACAGACCTGAACCCCGTGGGAGAGACATGCCTAAACCACGCGGGAGAGACACGCCTAAACCACGCGGGAGACACACGCCTAAACCACGCGGCAGAGACACGCCTAAACCACGCGAGAGAGACACGCCTAAACCACGCGGGAGAGACAGACCTAAATCACATGGGAGACACATGTAGACCACGTGGGAGAGACAGACCTAGCCTGCTGCTTTGGGGTTGCCTCTTCTGCCTAGGAGGACCTTGGGCAGGAAGTTTCCTGTTTGGCTCCAGTCT